GTCCAATTTAGTCAAAGTTGTTTTAACTTTAATTTTCTAGTGAAACATCTTAACTGCTGAGCTTATCCAAATTCCATTAAGGATAGGTTTTCAACAGTTAACAATTACTTGGGAGATAGAGGGAGATAATTTTTTTTTCTGATTTGAGAATCATGCTTTTGCAATACTTGCCTTAAATCACTAAAATAGATTTTCTTTTTTTTCTTTTTACTTTTTTAATATTTGTTTTAAAAGTGATTTATTTTAGGGGGGAGGGGCAAATGGAGAGGCGAGGCAAACCCAAGAAGACTGTGCTAAGCAGAGCCCGTTGTGGGATTCAGTCTCATCACCCTGAGATCAGACATGAACTGAAACCAAGGGTCAGCCACTTAACCAACTGCACCAGACAGGCGCACCAGTTTCCTTTTCTAAAAGACAAAACTGCAAGATAGTCCTGTATTTTGTAATATACAACTTAGTCCATTTTCCTGTGTATCTGATTTGAAATTGTTACAGATAAGAATATTGCAACCCTGAACCATGAGAGACTATGGACTCTGAGCAACAAACAGGGTTTTAGAGGGGAGGGGGGTGGGGGGATGGGTTAGACTGGTGATGGGTATTAAGGAGGGCACGTACTGCATGGAGCACTGGGTGTTATACGAAAACAATGGATCGTGGATCACCACATCAAAAACCAATGAGGTATGGTGACTAACATAACATATTAAAAAAAAATAATAATAATATTGCAACCCTTTGGGATCCACTGTCCTGGGCTTAAGCTTTAAAATCCACACCCTTAGGAGAAGGGGGTTCTTATTTGTATTTTTTAGTGGAATGACATCTCTACTTTATTCTGATTTATTCTCTTTAAGGGGAACTTAGGAGAAATTGAGTAAAGCTGATTGGAAAATGGCAGTTAGCCTGTTTTTACCACATACAGACATTTCAATATCTCTATTCAATGTAGCTTTGCTTCATGTTGTTCATAAGATAACAGTGCATTATAGATGCTATATTTTTAGTAGTGGACCCTTCTGTATCATGCAGAGAGATTAATTTTTGAAATAATACAAAAACTAGAGAACAAATTAGCCTAAAAATATTGAGCTTTGTAATGACCCTCTCACACAAGAGCTGACTCTTACATAAGTTTTTTATTTTTTAAGCAGAGTCATTTGGGTGGGTGGGAGTGAGATAAAACGGCAGTTTTGAAATTGTTTCAAAACTTAAAGTTTTAAGGTAACTGCTTTTTACACTCTGAAAAGCTGATAACTTTTTTCAGTGCTAGTGCCACTTTGGTGGAAAGTTTTCAGCAAGGAGGCATTAAGGGTGTTTAATTAACTACAGATAGCATCACATAAATACTTGACAAACTACCTTAGTATTAACAGAATCTGGTGAATACTAGCTTTAAAGTGATGTCTAACATGAATTTTTACCATGACAATGCTCATTCTAGTAACCTTTTATTAGTCCTTTATTTGTTGAAAGCGTTTATCCCTTGCTCTAACTTCAAAATGTAATGGAATCTTTCTGCAAGTGCAATTTGGTATTAGTATGATTCATTTTAGACCTTTGTTTAGAAGAGATTAGTTTCTAAAGTATCAGAAAAATGACCAGTGGTAGTCTCTTTGACTATCCTATGGCCTGGCCTTGGGTAACTTGCTATAACACGAATATCAATTTATGTAGATACTTCATTTTCTGTTATTCTGAAAAGTAATTTGTAAAACTCCTAGCCTTCTTGAGTGTTTTTAATTTAATTTTGTCTTCTCAAATTTATCTAGATCTGAATATTGTGAAGATAATGCCACCAAAGTAGCCATTCAGTGTTTCCAGGGTCAGTTGAAACTGGTAATCGGATAACTCCTGGGAACTCCTTAGCAGATGTTAGATCAGACATAGTCAAATGACAGTGGAAAAAGTACTTGATATTAGGATGAGGGTAAATTACAGTTTAAGGAATAATTAGCATCACTTGAACTTGAAAGTAGTGTTACACTAGGGACTAGTGGTCTGGACTAAAGCTAATGCAATACATATAGAATGCTAAAGGATTAAAAAGAACACTTCTCAGAATGGGCATTTAAATACTTACCTGAATGTCTAATATAGTTGTCCCTGTTTTGAGGCAATAAATCCTAAACACCTGTCAAAATAAGACCTAACAAAGTTTTTCATAGTATTTGAGATGCATGAAATTTCAAAACAAGCTTACTCTAAATTTTTTATGGTACTAGTTTGATATGTATAGTGGTAATTCATTTAACATTTGTTCATGAGGACATATTAATGCTGTTCACATCTTTAAACTTAGCATGCACAAAGGTTATTTAATGTATCATCTGTACAATATGTCAAGGAGACTTAACGAGAATTTCTTTATCCTATGCATTGAATGTAGTTTATAGAAGTTGTGCTGTGAGGCATGTTCCTCTTGCTTTTGAACACTGGAATTGAAGTTTTAAAGAATCTCAAATCCAAACATCACAAGACAATTGCTAAGGCAATATATATGTTTAGGTTAAGGAACAACAGGCATATTTAATTGCTTCTGTATAATGTCTAAATAGAAATGAGTTTTGAAGGATTATCCTTAAGCATTACAATTAGATACAGAAAAATTGATACATTCCTTAAAAATTATAGATCTTTAGAGATAGCTCTTGGAATACTTAAGGGTATATGCAGTCCTGAAATTTAATAGGGTGATACTTAGTGTTGAAATGTCTTTACCTTAGAACAAATCAAGAAGCCATAGGGTCTTTCCTCTTTCAGTATAGGTTAGATGGAGAGTAGATGAATGGAGTTGATAATTCAAATACTGGCATTGCCATTTTCTTACATGTTAGTTTTTAAAGGTAGAATTATAATACTTTGAAAATCTGTTATGACTTTTTCATCGTATAAGCATACATTATATTCAGTTAATGTCTTGGGCCTAAAATCTGAGACCAGCAACTTAGTTTTATGTTAATATGCTCTTAGTTATATGAACTTAAGAAGTTTCTCTTACTTAGGCAAAAAAAAAAAAAATCTATCTCACACAGGACACTTGAAGTTGTTAAATATTTAGATAGTACCTTTATCCCTACTTTATAACATCATGAATTTTTTTTAAAGGGAAAATTATATTTCCATTTTAGATTATGAGATTCTGATATCACTAAAAAAATCTAACTGGTAAAAAAAAATCTAACCTAAGAAATGAATAGTTCACTTTTTTTTTTTAAAGATTTTTTTTTTTTTTAATTTATTTACTTGACAGAGAGGGCACAAGCAGGGGGCGCGGCAGGGAGAGGGAGAGGGAGAAGCAGACTCCTGCTGAGCAGGGAGCCTGATATGGACTCGATCCCAGGACCCTGGATCATGACCCGAGCTGGAGGCGGATGCCCAACTGACTGAGCCACCCAGGTGCCCCAACAGTATTGGTCACTTTTTAAATAAATAATGATTTAGAGCCATAAAAACAATCTTTTATTCCCTTTTTTATTAGGATCTGGTAATACAGAAGTATAAGATGGCCCCTTCAGAGTTATCCAAGTTCTCCTATAAATATTATGTCCCTCTAGCACAGGTGAAATAACTTGTCATGTAACTTTTATGTAGATCATTGTTTTCAGGTCTCACCTCTTATATTTTACCTTAGTTTTTTACATTAGCCTGAAGTTAAACTATGGTGAAGTATAAAAGATCTTTGGTTTTCTATTGGCATTTCTTCACTCACTGGGATAAACTGAAGAAGTTGACTGAAGTGTGGTCTTCCTGACATTGGTGGTGAGGTGAACGGATTCTATCTGGAGTCCTTGGTCTTTCTCAGGCCTTTGTGGAGCGTTAGCTCATAATTTCTCCCTGTCCTCCCCACCCCAAGTTATATACATTGTTAGGTGAAAAACTCTTGGTGACTGAAATATTCTTAACTCCTATTTCAAGTGAGTAATCTCATATAATGAGCCAGTCCTGAGGCCACGGCCTCAAAGCCCCACTGCCAGTGTATAGGTGGGTTTCCATATTATCTGAACAGCAGTGGACTGAGTGGAACATGAATCCAGCTGATTAGTTTTATACTAATTATGTGTTACCCAGTAGTGAGACTGGGGGTGGGGGTGGGGGCGGGGCAGTAAGGGGAAGCAGTGGGATGCCAATTGTCATATGTTTAAAATGGATGGGAATATAAATAGTTACTATCTACTGAGCATCTCTTAACCTAATTAAACTGTGGGGATAAAACAGGCAGAATATATTAGGCATTCTCAATTGTTATCTAGCATTGCTGACATCAGTGTTGGAAGGAAAAATATCAACAAAAGTCAGTTGCAAGAAGGAATTCGAAGACACAGGATTTAAAAAGTGAAAAGCATAAATGTAAAAATATTATCGAATACTCACACAAAACAAGTTTCTTTGCTTTAAGCAACACTAATTTTGAGTAGGGTGGTGCTTTACACACATTACTCCTTTAAAAACCTCATAACCCCTGACTTCGGTATCTTCAGGAGGATCAGAGTTGTCTTGCCCTGGGTTGCACATGTAGTTATGCAGCAGAACCAAGTTACAAAAACCTTATTTCCACGCATCCTCCCCTAAACCTCCACCAACCAACCCCCCATCGACCTAATCCCGACCTGGATTTGAAATTAATTTAGTGCTATTAAATTTTGGGACAAAGGGATCTTCCCTATGGAATTGAATCTTGTTACTCCAATTAAGAACAAAAAACAGCTAAGTGGTTTACTTCACAGTTGGAAGGCCATGAAGAATTGACTTGTACAGAACTAACCCCCGGGCAGCTTTACTCTGCGTACGCCTATAAGCCACCAGAGGTAGCCAGAAAGTGGACGGAGCCCCGCGGGAACGGGAACCCGGCCGAGGCGTGCCACGCCCGGGCTGGGCAGCGCCGCCGTTCGCC